AAAAAAAAATTTGGGGTTTAGGTGCACTTTAAAGGATCAAGCTCAACTAGGGCAAATCTTGGGCTACAGTAACTACACTGTACCGTCATGACACACGTCATGTAGTTTTGTGTTAGTTTATCTAAGGATCAAATTTCATGTTACATCAAATCTGGATTCCAGGAGTCAGCTCTTGTGTAGGGGTCAGTTCTATCCTTGTTTTAGAATAAGATTTTTGATGCGTTGACTTTTGAACGACATGTTGCCTTCTCTTTTATGAAAAGGCTGCAAGCTGTGTACTTGACTTTGTACAATCTGTATTCTACAAGTAGAGGAAGGAAAGGTTACTTTAGATGGAGAGAAGACATCTGCTACTTCATTGACAAACATTGGCTGCTTTTGTTCCCCAAAAAGTAAGTTACAACTTTTCCGCAGTATCAGACAGTGACTCAGTATTCTCCATTATTTTAAGCCCAACAGGTAAGATAAATTTTCAAACTGGTAGCTAGTGTACTCCTTTTACCTGTTGAATTTTCAAGAATTTCAAGCATTTTTACTAGACAGTTATAAGAGATACTTTGGGTAGTAAGTTTTAGGAGAAGGAGAGAGGAGAACACTGATTAGATAGTCCAATATTTTTGTTTTGAGAATCCCCCCTCCCATCCCAAAGGGATTTGGTTCCAACTCCCCCCCTCCTTAAAAATTCTCCCACTTTGCCTTCATACCTTTCTGTATAATTCTAGCATATGGATTCCTTTCTCCTCTGGAACTTCCACTGAGCCTTGTCAGGGAAGGCCTGCTTTTCTTTTCTCAGTACTTAGGAGAGGCCCTAACTGTAAGTGTCAAGGCTGGGGGGTCAAGGCTGGAGGGCCAGTGTTGCAAAAGTCCTGGGCTGGGTTGTTCAAAGCTGGGTTAAGGTAACCAAGGGTTAGTGTGAAATTTGATTTCAGATCTGAAAGCTTGGGGAGTAAGTTCAGTTTATTTCTTTTCATCTACAATTTGATGAATTAATGCTCTAAAAATGATTAGGTAAATTATTTCAAAATGGCTTTTGAACAGGGAAATATAGAAACCTGGATTAAAGCTCAACCCTGGGTTAGCACTTGTCGGCCTTCAAACAACCGGGTCCTGGTTAGTTAATATGCCCCCTGGCCATCCTCTAAGATCTAAAACTCCATGCATGTAGTAGTGGGGATGATGGCACAGAAACCAGTCTTTATTTCCTGATAAGATTACTGGTAGGTCTTGAATGTAAATGTAGCAAACAAAGCTCAACTTTTTGGACCAGCACCCAGGAAGAAACAGGTCTTTGAATGGTCACAGCCACACAAAGCCCTCACAGTCTTAAAACCTATCTGGGTCTGAGATGTTACGACAGTGCTCAGTGTGGGAAGGTTTGAGAATAACATTTTTTTTCCCTTATCAGAAAAAAGAAGAATACTTGGAATAGCACAGTTGCTGGCATTTTGTCTTCAGGATGCCCTGAGTTTTTCAAGTCAGGACAGAAGGAGTTCAATAAGGAAACTGGTTGGTGGGGATTACAAGAGAACATTGCTCCATCAATTAAACTGGCTGGAACAGGTGTGGATCAGGTTGTTTGTTACACTTGAGCCAATAGCAGGGGTGTCAGTAAGTTTTTTTCATCAGCAGCTGCTGATGGTATAAAAGGCAGCTGTGCTGTAAGGCAAAAACTACACTGTAAACATGATAACCTGCTCTCAGGTTAAAGAGTTGCCAGTTAGAGGTCTTATAGGCCACAGTAGACTGCTGGTACTTAAGGGGTTTTCATGGAAACCCCTGCAGGGTTTTCAATCGAATTTTATACAGCTGTTGCTGTGTTACTTTCACGCGTAACACTAATTAAAAATACATGGGTATCCTGGGTCTATTTGCTGTGGCCAATTGTTTTAGTATGCTTTATCATTATAGAGCCAAGAGAAAATGTGTTCTATGGTTTGAATAGGCAGTGGTAGTACACGTAAAAGGAGAGGAGGTGCTGGTATTGCCACAGGGTATGGTGCACAAGACAAGGACTCTCCTTTGAATACTGAGAAGTCCCCAAGGATTACAGCACAACCTTTGTGTGCTGATGAAAATGTCACTGAGGTAAGTAGGGTAAAGCATTATTAATTTTATTTGAGTTCAATCAAGAAAATGATTTCCTTTACCAAACTGAATAACTACTTCTGTGGTGAACTGCTAGTGTATACTTTAACCTTTAGGGGCCACTACAGCAGTGTCTATAATTATTCTTCATACTGTTCTCTATACATTTCCTTAAGTACTGACAAAGAGAATTCTTTTAACAATCAAAGCTTCTTAGGTTGGCAATAATTTCCTTTCTACCCATGATTTTAATGAATGATTCAGCAGTATTACTGTATGGAAAAAATTAGATGCTGGTTACTTATAGGGTTTACAGGGTTAATTAGCTTAATGATATTATAGGCAGGGTACTTTTGATTGATTTTCATTATCAGTGCCTGATACAACCATCACTGCCTATAAGAAGACAATCATCTTTGTGAGCTGAGCTCTAGGCTGTACAAAAGCTGAAACAACTACATTTTTCTGTGCGTCATTTTAATCCTTTCACTCCCAGGATCTTGTTAGCAATTCTCCTCACTTTCTACAATACAATTTTTCTGATGGTACTCTGGAGAATTTAGCATTGGATCAACTTATAATCCTCCTAATTGATATTTTCCTTTGTTCTCATCACTTATCTGCTTGATATTGTAATGATGATGTAATGAGAAATTCTGTGTTGGTCATTCATGGGAGTAAAAGTGATCAAAAACTCTGTGTAATTATAGTAGCTCTTAACATTACAAACTGTGTACATAATACATGTATTAAGCTCTTAAAAGGGAGTACCAGATATTTATCTTGTAATCAGATCTTTTCTTTCAACTCCCTCCAAATACTATACTAGACTAGTTTCTCTGGAAAAAATCGGTAAAATGGACAAAGGTTCTTATTTTATAGTTGTGGGCCAAAGTTCCATACCTTGGGAGGTTGTGACGCATGAATTAAGATTTGAGATGGACAAACACAATGTATGTACAGTAATTGTTGAGTCAAACGTCCAGCAAGCAGTAAATAGCAACAAACATCTCACTATTTTAATACGCGTCAGTAGCGTTTCTCGCCATCTGAGATTACACACTTCTCGGCCTAGCGCCCGTCCCTTTTTGCTCTATTCCTAACTACCCAGTACTCTACTTTTCTCCCCCTCCAAAAGAAAATGTTGTCCTCAACATAATTGAATGATTATTAAGCGACATGTTGATCATTGATTCTTGTAGCCATCATTATCTGAGCATAAAAGTCCGTGTGATGATCTCATGTCCCAGTTATTATCTGAGGAGGATATGCAGGAACTTGCAGAACCTACACCAGGTGTGGTAACCTTAGGTTTACAACTTAAAACAACCCAACTAGACCAGGTATACAACGGGCATTGTCAAAGAAAGGCTCGACAAACTTATAAAAAAAGGAAGTCATTCCTGGAAGATTTTTGTCGTTCAGTTTGTAAGAACAACCAGGTCGTGTCAAAAGCGGGAAAACACGGGCAAACAAGTCGGTATTGGCTTTAGTTTTGCATCTGATTGGTTGAGAAAGTAGCGCGAGTTTTCTGGACCAATCACAGAGCGAAGTGAAAGCAGAAACAAAGCAATCTCAAATTACTTTCGACGCAATATTGAAAACTAACTCTATCGTGATGATTTTATTTGTAATTTTTTTGTGTTGCATTTCAGAGATGGACACGTTCTCGAGTCTCTTCGCGGCAAATTATGAAGACATGGACGACACTTCTTCACTTTTCACTGGTGAAGAAGAAAAATCAGGTTTGTATCTCTCTATCCATTTCGATCTATCAATTGAAAGTCGTTTCAGCTACATTATTTGAAGTGTTTTTTCTTAAAATGATGTTTGTGTCTCTCTGCTCAGACTAACATGAATCTACGTAGCAAAATTTTATAGCGAACAGTCCTTGTCTTTTGTAAGATTCTACTATGAAAGGCAAAATTCTTGAACGCTCTGCAACGTTTTGAATTTGTTTTAGAACTCTCATTAACCCCCTTCCCCCTTCCTCCTCCACCTCCCCACTCAGTGAAGGTGTATAATGCATTTGTGAATCAACGCGATCGCA